TCTCTCTCTGTGCAGTGCAGTGCAGCGGCAGCGGCAGCGCTCCAACTCCTAGCTCGCGCCCAGCGCTGTAGACTACTCTAACTGCGCCCAGCGCGTCTACTACTGAAGACTACTCGCAAGTGTCTCAGAACTACCACTGAGAACTAATACCAACTACCTCCTGGACGCTGCCTGATAACTGGTGTGCAATGACTTGCTGATTTCTGCTGCCGTGTCTGACTGCGAGGTTGTACAGTGTCTGCTTGCTGTGTTTTGCGGCTTGTTTTATTGTGTGTGTTTGCTGTGTTTATTTCGGTCGCACTGAGGGCGGTCCGCTGTTCTAAAAATAGGCAGAATTCACAGCGGTAGGACTTGAGTGGTAGCCGGCCCTAAGTGGCCACAGTCCCTAAGTGCAGTAGGACCGTTGGCCTAGAGGCCCTAAGTCGAAACGGTACCGGTAGAGTAGTTTCGGTCCGGTAGGGTCCAGTAGGTCTAGGCTAGAATCTAGAAATAGGTGAGGCTGAGGAGATTCAGGACTTTTGGCAATTCATTTTCGCGTGACAGCGTTCGAGGCCAACCAAGTATTGCACCGCTGAATGTCTGTAGCGGCACCTGAGACATCAGCAGAGTGACGGCAGCCATAGCCAGCCTCTGAGAGACTGCCAGAGCTGCGGCACTCTCAACGCATCTACCCCTGGGGGTATCTGCGTGTGGCAGGGCTATTCTGAGGCTCTTCTTTGGGTACATGTGGGTGCTGTTACTGGCGCCCTACTTCGCAGGGCTTCTGTAGCAGCTTGGCAGCCATAGCTGCCTTCTTCTTCGTCAGACTGACTCATCGGCACTGAAGACTTCACTGCGGTTCATGATCTTCATCTTGGTGATTGGCGCTGGCCTGTGGGAGGCTGTTTCAGTGTGGCGGTGGACTCTGAGAGTGGAGTAGTGGGTGGAGTGTTGAGTTCTGAGGTGGCGAGATACTGGGTTGAACTCTGTAACGATTTTTGGGGTTAATTGAGTTGAGTTGGCTCATCATCAGTGTTATATTCCAATTGTGATCTTCGCAGTTGTCATCTTGTGATTGGTTGTTGGGAGTTTGTCAGAGAGAGAGAAACACAGTGTGTATTCTCCCCATCTGTGCATGGTTGATATTCCGCTGCTTATCTCTGGTCTGTGTGCAGTGTGGACTCTGTCTCCTCTCCCCTTTATCTTGTGCATGTATGGGCATGTGTGAGATACTCTGTGTGTGAGTGGCGGGAAAATCGTCATACAACCAAGTTCATAACAGTTGGTATCCGAGCGAGATTGGGCTTGGAGCACTGAGGGTTGAGCGCAACAGAGGCATCTTCTTCTTCTGAACTATCTGGCGAGAAGTTCCATGGCGGTTCTTCATCTTTTGTGAAGACTCAGAGAGAGAAGAAGACATACAAGCGGTGATTGCAAAGATTCAGTCTGTGATTGTTCAGGCGCACTGAGCCTTTCTGAGCGCCTGACAGGATTTGGCGAGAACAGGGGTATTTCGCCATCCATCCTTCTGACCTCAGTTGATGACTGAGATCAGGGTGGCGAATTACACCCTAATCCAGTGATAACTGGATGGCGGCATCAATCCCAGTACGACGCTGAGGGAGAATTGATCGCAGGATCAATCTCCTGCTGAATTAGCCCTAATCAGGGCTAAATTTAGCACCAGCGGCTGAGGACTGCAGTGGCGAGAAATCTTCAGGAGACTTCCTCATCGCCACTAAGCCAGATTCAGTGAATCTGAGAGTTGGGGTTGAAGCGCCACATCATACTGAACAAGATCAACAAGATTCAGGCGATTCTACACGTGGAGATCAGTGGAGGACTGTCTGCATGAAGGTGGCGAAACCAGGGTTGTTCTGTCAGCCATAGCCAGAACTTCATCATCCACTGAAGTAAACACTGCAAGTGAGTGTGTTCCGTGTGAATCCCTGAGTAGCGATTAGTTTAGTGTCTGTAGAGTCTGAATTGATGGTCTATCTGTCAGTAGAGTCACAATCTAGAAATTGTCAGACTGCAAGACAACCATAGCCATCTTCTTCCTTCTCACCCTGACCCATATCTCACCATTTGTTGACTTATTCTGACTCAAAATTGTTTTGGGACTGTATGACAGTATTGCGCTGCACCCTGTATGTTCAGTCTGTGAGTTCTATACAGAAAAAGTAGAAATACTGTGAATCTTAGTTTTGCGCTGAGTCTATTTTTAGCTTGTGCTAGCTAGGGTCAGTCAAAACTTAGATTCTGTCCGTCAGAATTCAATTCTGTCAGTCTGGGGTGAATCGCAATTCAGTATTTGTCATCTGTGCCAAAGCGCTTGCCCAGAATCAGTGAATTTGAGTGGATACAGTGAAAAACAGTAAATCGCTGTGTCAGTGTGTATTTCTGTTGATGTCAACAGTGGCGAAATTTGAGTGTAGGGTTGTTAGAGTCTAGTCTACTGCATCGCTACTACTTGTTTCTCTTTGTTAGTAAGTTCTTCTCAGCATCTGTCTCTACCACTGATTATCTTTGTTTTCTGATTGGCTCTGGAATGTTAGTGATCTCTATAATGCACTGAAATTGTATGTTCTAACTTCAGTAATGGTTCAGCGTCAGATATAGGAAATCGTTTGGGAATGATTTTATTGGACTGTCTGTCTGTCTGATTGCTGACCCCAGTGATTGTATTCTAACCCTAACCGCTTGTGCCTACTGACCCACCTTACCCAGTGAATTGATTGTGTAGCGATTTCTGAGTGTTTGAGTGGATTGCAAATCGCTGCATCTCTTGCTGTTTAACACTTCTATTAACTGTCTCTGAAAGGGAAAATGACTGACGTTACTGATCAGGGTGTGGGAGAGGTAGAAGTAGTAGCCAAGGATGAAGGGAAACCTTCACCCTCTACTACTACTCCTCCTCTCACCCCTGCTCAACGACGCAAGAGGGAAATTGAGGCAAAGCTGCGAGAGCAACAGGCGCTGCTCGCAGAGGCTGAGAGACAGGAGGCAGCTAAATTGGAAGCTGCAACAGATGCCTCCAGAGAGGAGTTTCTGCTGCAGAAAGCAGAGAAGGCTGTTGCAGATGAGAGAGTGGCCCAGATAACCAGGTACTTGGCTGAGTTGGTGATCCTGCAGAACAAGATCACCACCAGTCACTTTACTAATTGGGATGATCGCATTCAGTGTCTAGAGACCAGGATGGATGACCTGGCAGCTCAGCAGAACAAGATTCTGGATTCTATTCAGAATCTGACTGCTCAGCTGACAGCCGCCAACCTGATCTCAGTTGCGCCACCCTCTCTTAAGCCCAAGCAGTCTTCCCCTCATCCTTCACCTCCTCCCTCTCCTCATAGTTCTCGTCAGTCATCTCCCTCTACCTCCTCCCACTCTAAAGTCACACCTCCTCCCACTTATGCTGTTGTTACTGCAGGGGATCAGAGAGGACCCAAGATCCCCGCACCCAGCAAGTTCAGGGGCGATGACCCCAAAACTGATGTTGGGGATTGGGCTGCAGGAACCCGGGCCTATCTGAAGGGTTTCGTGTGCCTTGAACAGCAGAAAGAGGCCACGATTGTGGGACTGCTGGAGGGCCTAGCCCAGAAATGGGCTGCGTCAATAGCCAGCGGTCTGCAGCAATCATTGGAGGACTGGGCTTCAGATTTGGGACTGGGGAAACTTCTGCAGGCCCTGGAGGAACGCTTTGCAGACAAGGAGAGAGCACGCAAGGCTGCTGACAAGATCACACGTCTTGGGCAGCAGCGTTACAGCGGCACTCTGCAGTCCTTGTTTGCAAAGTTTGAGCAACTCACCTCCACCCCTCGTCTGGTCATGTCTGATGATGATCTACTAACCAACTTCTGCAGGGCTGTGCCTGAGAAGTTTTCTATTGCATTGTACAACGCAGGGCACAAAGACTGGAGATCTTTCGGCCGCGCAGCACTGGATATGGAGGTCAATCTCCATGTCCAGGCCCCCTCCAGTGACAGGAGGAAAGGCGCTTTCCCTCGCGGTGGTAGAAAGGGAAAAGCGGTCTTTGTGCATGCAGGGTCTGCGTAGCTTCTGATTCAGGATCCCAGCCTGGTACACCGCCAGATGGGACTGCATCAGCTGCTATCACAGATGTTGCAGCGGCCATGCAGCAGCTGCAGGCTGCACTGGGGGCCTTCCAGAAGGCCGGGTCTTCCTCCAGCACAGCCTCCAGCAGCAAGGGGAAGAGCAAGGGGCGTCGCTCTTTTACCCCTGCCCGACGCCCTAATCTGCCACGTGACGTCCGTTTCCCAGCGGACCCTCTGAATCCCAGCACTCTCCCTTGGCATGATCTGAAGATTCAGGAGGGAGTGTGGAGGAAGAGGAAGGAAAGGGGGGTCTGCTTGCGATGTGAGGGGCAACACTTTCTCAAGGACAGTCCCTACATGCCAAGCCCAGCACAGTCAAAAAAATGAAGTTGACCCTGGAGACTGCAGTTCCCTTGCATTTTCATCTGCTGATGTAGATGCACCTGCAGCAGCTTCAGTTAAGACTTTCAGTGACTATCCCTGTGTGGGGACTGCGCGGGCAGCATCCTTCAGTTATAAGGATCCTGACCCGGATCAGGACCCGGAGCAGTCTGAGCTTCAGACACTTGCTGCTTTTTTCTTTCATCTGAAAGAACAAAAGAAAAGCAAGTCTGATCTCATCCTACTTCGGCCCCTGATCAACCACATCAGAATCAAGGGGCTGCTAGACTGTGGAGCCACCAGAAACTTCATGTCTCCCAGTGCAGTTAAAAAGCTGCATCTGGGCATGAAAGTTACACAGCTGCAGCAACCGCTGCATGTTAGGATAGGTGACTCCACTGTACTTACAATCAGGGAGAAGGTCAAGGGCATACCTGTTACCTTCGACAGCGCTGGAGAAGTCAGACATAGTCTGAACTTCTACATATTCCCTGATTTACCCTTTGATCTGGTGTTCTCTATGCAGTGGCTGAAAGCAGTCAACCCAAGGATCGACTGGCAGATCCCCAAGGTTGAGCTGCCTGACAGCAAGGGGGTGTATCAGCCATGCATGATTGCTGTTGAACACCACCCTAAGACTTCATGCTTCTGCTTGAGAGCGAGGGAGTTCTATGCTCTCTCCCGCCAGTATGACCATGAGCGTCTGTTTCTAGCTCTGGGCAAGCAGACAGACGCTCCCACAGTTTCCTGCCATCCTGAGATACAGCAGGTGGTTGACCAGTACGCCGATCAGATGAAGGAGCTCTTTGGACTACCCAACCGGCCAACCAAGCATCACATTGAGCTGCTGCCTGGAGCGGTTCCCCCTAAGGGCCGCGTCTACAGGATGTCTCCTGTTGAGCTTGAGGAGCTCAGACGACAGCTTGAGACCCTGACCAGCAAGGGCTGGATCAGACCCAGCACTTCTGAATTCGGCGCACGAGTTCTCTTTGTACCCAAAGGGAATTGTGAGTTCAGAATGTGCATCGATTACAGGGGTCTCAACAAGATCATTAGGAAGAGTACTAAGCCACTTCCTAGGATCGATGACCTTCTGGATATGGTGCAGGGCTGCACAGTATTCAGCAAAGTCGATCTCAAATCTGGCTATCACCAGATTGAGATGGCAAAGGAGGATGTCTACAAGACAACCTTCAAGACCAGGTATGGTACTTACGAGTTCCTGGTCATGCCATTCGGACTTTGCAATGCACCTGGCACGTTCCAAACAGAGATGCACCGCATCTTCAAGCCTTACCTGGATAAGTTTATGGTTGTCTACCTGGATGATATCCTGGTATTCAGCAAAACTACTAGGGAACATGCGGAGCACTTGACTCTTGTCCTTCAGTCGTTACAAAACCACCAGTATAAGATTAACAGAGAGAAGTCCTTTTTTGGAGTCCCCTCTGTTATTTATCTGGGTCACGTAATCTCTGGAGATGGACTCGCTCCTGAAGAAGCCAAGATAGCTGCTATTCAGGAGTGGCCACAGCCTCAGACAGTGAGAGATGTTCGGTCTTTCTTTGGTTTAGCCTCATACTACAGGAAGTTTGTCAGGAACTTTTCTGCAGTGGCTGCACCCCTGACTAACCTCACAAAGAAAGACACTCCCTTTCTTTGGTCCCTTCACTGTCAGATGACCTTTGCACGACTCAAACAGGCCTTGACTCGTGCCCCTGCATTGAAGTTATCTGACCCCACTTTGCCTTTTGTCCTGACTACTGACGCCAGTCAGTATGGCATTGGGGCAGTACTTCAACAGGATGATGGGAATGGTCTACGGCCAGTAGAGTTCATGAGTAAGAAGATCAAGACTCAGAAGCTTCAGGACTCTACCTACGAGAAAGAGCTGTATGCTCTTGTCAGTGCCTTAAAGCATTGGAAGCACTTTCTCCTGGGAAGACATTTCAAGATCTTCTCTGATCACTCCACTCTGCAGTGGATGAAGTCCCAGGGAGAGTTGAATGATAAGCTGGCCCGTTACATTCAATTCATTGACATGTTTGACTTTGAACTGAAGCATAAGAAGGGCTGCTACAACAAGGTAGCAGATGCCCTCTCTCGTAGGCCTGACTCTTTTGCATTGATCTCCTCCACTCACTCCTTTGGAGAGGAGACTTGTCAGACCATTGCTCGTCTACTGCCTCAGGACCCGACTTATGGACCCATAGTCAGGAATCTGCAAGCAGATCCCAACTCTGAACCAGGCTATGTACTGAGTTCAGACTTGCTGTATACCTACAGCAGAGGGGAGGAGCGCTTGTGCATTCCTCAGGATCAGCAGCTGAGGACACTGCTGATGTCAGAGTGCCACGATGCACGTAGACACTTTGGGTTCTTAAAGTCGTATGCAGCCCTGTCGCAGCGCTTCTTCTGGAAGGAGATGCAGAGTGATATGCTGCGCTATGTGGAAACCTGTGAGCTCTGTCAGAGGAATAAGGTTCAGCGTAAACCTCCTCTGGGACTGCTCAAACCATTACCTATACCTGATGGTCCTGCCTAATCTGTGTCTATTGACTTTACAGATTTAGGCAAGACCACCCCTCGTGGCATGCGTTTGGTTATGGTCTGCGTGGACAGGTTCTCCAAATACGCAGAGTTCATCCCCTTGCCAGAGGTGGCTAGAGTTCCAGCTGTAAGAGCAGCCTTCTCTGAGAGGTGGGTCACTCACGATGGACCGCCCACTTCTAATGTTAGCGATCGAGATCCTAGATTTTGCAGCGATGAGTGGCAGTCCTACTGTAAGGACTATTTGCACTCTCGATTGGACATGACTTCTGGTCGTCATCCTGAAGCCAATGGTCAGGCTGAAGTGATGAACCAGGTCCTGTTCCAATTGCTGCGTCCTGTCATCTCATCAGATCAACAGGACTGGGATCTCCACCTAGCTCGTGCACAACTCATGTATAACATGTTTGTCCATTCCTCGACTGGGTTCAGTCCCTACCGACTACATTGGGGGACGGAAACCACGTCAGCCTCTCGATGATATCATCGACAAGGCTAAGACAGATCTGACACCAGGCACAGCAGAGTTTACCAGACGCTATCGTCTTGATGTGGAAAGAGTGCGAGCGAACTTGTTCAAAGCCCAAAAGGCAATGATTGAACAAGCTAATCGCCATCGCAGGCTTTCCCCCATTCGTACTGGTGACTATGTCTGGGTGGCCAGTTCAGAGTTATCGAGGGAGGAGGATATCTCTCCTAAGCTATTGCCGAGATACCTGGGTCCGTGGCAGGTGTTAGATTCAGTAGGGGCTGATCCTTTCGGTCCGTCCTACACCATTGACGTCCCTCTGCATCTACGTACCTATCCGGTCTTTCATGCATCTAAGATGCTTCCTTTTACTCCAGCTGATGCATTCCCTGACCGGCCCCCTCAGTGGGGTCCACCAATCCGTGGTAAGGGATATGATGTGGAGTCCATTGAGGATGAGTGGGGCACTGGCCCCGAGGCGCTTGGCCTCAGGGGCCTGTTTCAGGAACTCAGGGGTAGTTGATAGCGGTTATTCAGGGTTAGGGGAGGAGCGCTGCTCATGTCTGAGCAGCGCATCATAGTTAAGAGACTATTCGGACAAAACGATACTCTGAGTTTAATAAACAGTGTTGATACAGTGGGTGGAACGCCTTTGTTTCATTGTTTTCTGGATGTGATCTACTCGGCTTTCCTTTGTGACTGGTTGTGAGGACTTTGTGGAGCGAATTGCACTTTCAGTGTGCTTTGTCATATCGCATGGACAAGGCTTCCACTGTGCTTCATTCTCTCTTTGTGGTGTGATACTCCTTTCGTCTCCCCTTCCTTCTATGTATGTATGGGCATGCATGGAAGTTCATGTGCGCGAGTGTTGGTCTTCTGACAACAAAAAACCAGGTTCATAACAGTTGGTATCGGAGCGATTGGATCCAATCACTGATGCGGAGATGAGTTGGAGCAACTACAATCATCTGGTGAGACACTAGAGTTGAATCTCATGGCGATTTGTCATCTTCTGTGTTGGCGACAGTGAGGGTTGTAGTGACAAGCGTGTGGCGAGAGGAATGGACAGAGGGTGACTCACTTCTGCTCAGCGTAGTACAAAAGTGAGTGGTGATTATCACTCAGAGGCCTGATAGGCTCTGAGGAGGCTATTTTTAGCCTGGCGATTCATCTGAGACGGGCGAATTTCAAGGAAGTGATCCCTAGATTGTTGTGATTTTGGGATTGGGTCAGGATCCCCACTTCCCAAGCAGCGCAGTGCAGGTAGAAGCTGCACTGAGTTTCTCAGTTATTGGCATCAGGGAGACCAGATTCACTAAATCTGTCAGTTGGGGTTGAAGCGCCATAGAAAGTTCTACAAGATCACCAAGTTTCAGAGGATTCGGTAAGTGGGAACACTGGGAATAGTTTGGAGAAGAAACTGGCGAGATGGGTCTGAGGAGACAGCCATAGCCAATTTCTCATCATCCCCTTCAAAGAAGTATCTGAAGTAAGTGCGTTCCTTACTCTAGATGGAACTTTTGCTCTTCGAAGTGCGCGACGGGTCTTCGCGGAATGTCGCCTATTCGCGAAATGTTGCCTATTCGCGAAAGGTCGCCTACGCGCGAAATGTCGACTATTCGCTAAATGTCGCCTATGCGCTATGGATCTTGGGGGCGGGCGGTGGGTATTCGCATAGGAGAAGCTCGACGCGAGGTTCCATGCGCGATGGATCTTGGGGGCTTCCTCGGTGTTGTGAGAATTCATCGCGAAGCGCTCCGATGAGAGGCATACGATCTTGACGTCAAGACCGGTGATAGGCAGGAGAGGTCAATAAGTCGAATGGCACGCGATCTTGACGACGTGATCACCAAGTCGATCGGCACAACACCCGAAAATCGTCAAGACCGGTGATAGGCAGGAGGGGTTAGCAAGTCGAAGGGCATGCGATCTTGACGGCGTGAGGACCTATGGCCTCGTGACGTCGTCCACGTGTCAGATGTGTCCGTCTGACGCGTGTAGCGATCTCAACCGTGAAAGACGCAGGTTGTCGTCATGAGCAGACGTCATGAACAAGATGATGACGTCAGCCTATGTCAATAGCTCGCGCCTTTCGTGGTTATGATCAGTAGACGCTCGTTGCGAACATATCCGCCGCGTGTGCGACGTCGCTTGACGAAGTTAGGACCAATGGTCATGCGACGTCGTTCACGCATTATATGTGTTCGTCAGGCACTTCTAGCGATCTTACCCTTGAAAGCCGCAGGCGAGTGCAATATGCAGGCGTCAAGAACAGGATGATGATGTCAGCATATGCCAGTTTTCGCGTCTACAAGATCGATCGACGTCGTCTGTAAATGACGGGGAGTCCGACGGAGCCGACCGTGAAGAAGTAGAAGGTGTGGAGGGGGATGAGAAGACGCGGGGCCTTGGGATGGTTATTGGGCCGAGTAATGTTACTCACCTTCGATTCGATGAAGACCTCAAGCGCACAGAACAAGAGCCAAGCGGGAGTGCATTCACACGCAAAGTCACACGTCACGTGTCGTTTACGGAAGCGCCCCCCGCTATCGTCGAGTGCATGAAAGAACGCCGGCCTGAAAGCTGATGCGGCATGGCGATGGCGTTCGCGTCGGTGCGGCAGCTTACAGAATGAATGACACAATCGGACGGGGTTGAGAGCCACGCGGGTGGGATTGATGCGGTCCAATGGCACGGTGGTTGCGGAAGAGGGGGGGCCCGGGTCGTTGCGCTGGCCGTCGTACGCCATCGTCCCGCAAGGCGGGCCCTTTTCCTTTCATGGACCGTCCGATCTCGAAGTCGCCCTTTCCGTGACCATTACGGGAGGGCAGGCGGTGGTTTCGAGAGGAAAGGTTAGTTCCAACCGCCCGATCACGCTCAATCGACGACTGCGATCCACCGGCTGGCGGAGACTTTCCCGCCCACACTTTTCACTAACGGGGCCCTCCCGGATGCATCCGCCTTTCAAATGATGCCACCGCCGTTCGGCAAATCCACGCGGCATCAGCCCGTCCTGCCAGAAGGGCCCTTTCGTTTTCCCTAGGACCGTCCCATCTCGATATCGCCCTTTCGGTAACGTTTACGAGAGGGCGGGCCGTGATATCGAGAGGACAGGTCAGTTCCCCACGCCCATTCGCGCTAGATCGACGGCTGCAATCCACAGGCTGGCGGAGAGTTTCCCACCCACATTTTTCACTCTCGTGCCCCGCACGGATGCATCCGCCTTTCGAATGACGCCACCGCCATTCGGCAAATCCACGCCACAGCGCTGTAGCCACTACCCTGTGCAGCGGATAACCGAACTCGCGCTCCCGTACCAACCACCCTTGCGATCGCCATATCCCTCACGCCGCCATCTTATGCGTCGCCGTCTTTTGCGTCGCCATCTCCCGCGTCGCCATCTTTTGCGTCGCCGTCTCCTGCATCGCCATCTCCCGCGCCGCCACCGTTTTGCACGTGACGATCCGCTCCGTCATTTGTGAGTCGCGATCAGCACCCACGTCGCATACCGTCGTCATCCCGAGGCGCTTCTCGTCGAATTACAAGAAAGGTACTCTCTCTCTCTCTCTCTCTCTTTGTCTCTCTCTCTCTCTCTCTCTCTCTCTCTCTCTCTCTCTCTCTCTCTCTCCCCCACGCTCT